CTGGCTGGGGAATTCTGGGAGTTGAAGTCCAGACATCTTCAAGTTGCCAAGGTTGAGAAACACTGCTCTAGATACTGACCTCCTCTGCATTCCCCATTCAGTCAACTGAAATGGCCGCTTAACAAAAAACAGGTTGGTTTGCCCTGATTTGTTCTCGATCCACCCAGGTTAGAGGGTTTTCGGAATGCTCACAAATCAACTCACCCAACCGTTTCTCTGGTGTTTGTTGCTGTCCGGCTGACAGTCATCGGGGTCCTCTTCTTTTGAGGACAGGAAAACGCTTGTCCTTCTAAGGTCCTCTGGCTCCACGCCTGTCCTCCGAAGGTCACAGCCAGGAGCCCAGCAGGTGAGGCTGGCCACCCTGGCCGCCCTCTTCTGGGATATTTTACAGACGCCGGACACGCCTCGGTCAGGAAACGGGGGCTGCAGATCCTGCATTGCAGACCTTCCCAAGGACCTGGGATCCTTCCAGAACCTTCCCACCAGCCGATTCCTCCGGGTGTCCTGGATGGAAGGGCAGGATTGAGCCAGGCTGCTGGCATGTTGAGTTACCCAAATGTTTGCTGCAGCAGAGCTCAGCTTTTTTGGGGGGGGGGTTGGCACCCCCTATGATGAAGCCCTGCAGAGATTGAAGCAGGGAGTCGGTGTCTCCGCATCCGCTTCCTGGCCAGGGAGGCCGCAGACGGGGCTGTTTGGAGCAGAGGGTGGAAGCCGAGGGCAGCCAGAGGGCAGCAAGGCCAGGCAGGGACTCAGCAGGGCAGAAGGGAAGCTCAGCCGGCCTCTCGCCGGGAGCCGAGCAAGGAAGTCCTGGGAAAAAGAGACATTTGTTTTGCTTGTCAACTGCTCAGTACAAGGTGTGAATCTGTCGGTTGGGTTGATGAAACCCTGGTTTTGCTCAATGTGTGAAGCCGCCTTCCCTGGCCACTCGCAGGCCGCTGTTCACCAGGGCTCTCCGGAGCATCCCTGGCCCTCGGCGGTTCAGGGGGTCTGCCGTGAGTCAGCGGCTGCTGCAGAATCCTTCCTCCAGAGGCAAGACTGTCCCTGCCTCTGCCGCTCTGGGATTCTTCCTCTTGTTGGCACTTCTGCTTCCTAACGCTGGGTCCCAGCAGCGTCCGGGTGGGGCTCAGGGGGGGGGGGGGGACAGGCTGCCTTTCTTGGCACGGAGGTTTCAGGCAGCCAGAATTCTTCAGCCAGGGACTGAATTGCGTCAGGCTGACTCGCCCGGGACGCTCACGAACTTGGCCTGGGGGCCTCGTGACCAGGGGTGGCCTGTGCTGCATCACCCGTGAAGCGGGGAGGGGTCTGGGGGGGTCCCAGGGTTCTCTGGCCTGTCAAGACCATTCATGGGCACCGCTGTGAGTGTGGAGAGCAATGTTGAAGGTTGTTGAGAGAGGCATCCTTCCCTTTGAGTGACCCAAAGGGACCTCAGGCCGATCTTGGTCCCAGATGGACCCAAAGCAGCATGGATGCTCCTCTGTCCAGGGTCTGCCAGCAGCAGAAGGGCACCTGCCAGGGCACTGGGAGAGGAGGGGGGGACTTTTATACACCTGAAGCTCAGTCATGAGCCGTCACAAATCGCCCCGGAGCCCTCTCTTTTCTTTTAATCGATCAATCAATCAATCAATCAATCAATCAATCAATCAGCTAGATAGAGCTGGAAGGAAGCTTGGAGGTCTTCTAGTCCGACCCCCTGCTCAAGCAGGAGACCCTAGACCAGTTCAGACAAGTGGCTGAAATGTCCAGTCCAGTCTCTTCTTAAAAACCTCCAGTGTTGGAACACCCACAACTTCTTGTGGCAAGCCGTCCCACTGGTTTATTGTCCTCACTGTCAGGGAGTTTCTTCTTAATTCCAGATTGCTTCTCTCCTTGATGGGTTTCCACCCATTGTTCCTTGTCTGGCCTTCTGGTGCTTTGGAGAATAAGTTGCCCCCCCCCCCTTTCTGCACCCAGTTTTGGTCACCACACTATAAAAAGAGGTTGAGACTCTAGAAAGAGGGCAGAGAAGAGCAGCCAGGATGATGAGGGGACTGGAGGCTCAAACAGACGATGGATGGCTGCAGGAACTGGGCCTGGCTAGTCCAGGGAAGAGAAGGACCAGGGGAGGCAGGAGAGCATCTTCCAATATTTGAGGGTCTCCACAGAGAAGAGGAGGTCAAGCTATTCTCCAAAGCCCCTGAAGGCCAGAGAAGGAAGAATGGATGGAAACTGACCAAGGAGAGATTCAACCTGGAAATAAGGAGGAATTTCCTGACAGTGAGAATCATCAACCCATCATCAACCCAGGGGCAAGCATAGCTGGCTGGGGGAATTCTGGGAGTTGAAGTCCACAGGACTGAAAGTCGCCAAGGTTGAGAAACACTGGACTAGATGACCTACAAGGTCCCTTCCAACTCTGTTAATTTGTTAACCTTTGTGGAGGTCCCTCAAATACTGGAAGATGCTCTCCTGTCCAGTCTCTTCTTGAAAGCCTCCAGGGATGGAGCTCCCACAACTTCTGAAGGCAACTTCTGTTCCATGGGTTGATTGTTCTCACTGTCAGAAAATTCCTCCTTGTTTCCAGGTTGAATCTCTCCTTGGTCAGTTTCCATCCATTCTTCCTTCTCTGGACCTTCAGGGGCTTTGGAGAATAGCTTGACCCCC